TTTTATATAAATAATTTTTAGTAAATGAAAAATATTTCATTTCACAAAAGACTAACTTACTTTATTCCTGACCTTTTAGAATAAAATTTCTAACAAAGCAAACAAAGCTCGGCTCCGTAAAAATCTCACATACGCTTATGAAAACTATTACATTCGTTTTTACTTTATATTTTAAATCAACTTGAGTTAAGTGGCCATTAAAGCCTAGTAGCGACACAGGAAGAACATTTAAAGGAGCAGTATCGTCCATCTCGAATACACTAAAATGACAGGTGTGTGCGCGTATGCAAAAACCGGATTTACAAGGAAAGAAAAGTGGCATAAACAGACATAAAAAAAACAACGAAAGATTATACCATTTGCCAGGGATGTAAGAAAAATATAATTCTGAAAAGGAATATGTCAATATTTCCCAAATAGTATAATTTCTCGTTATTTTGTCTTTGTTTGGCCGCGATTAATTTTATTTACAAGTTGTGTTTTGCTTTACGTATTCATTCTTCTATAGTAACTAAGCTACAGAACGTTATCGTCATTTATATATATACATTATTCTCACACGCACACATTTATATGAATGAATATGATATGTATATATAAGCCCTTTTTATGCTTCATTATAGTTCCGACTTCTTTTTACACTATTCACTACCTGGTATTGTCCACATATTGAGTTACCTTACATTTCTGTCTGTTACAACACTATGTCAAATAAATAGTGGACTGCAACAGTAATTATACAGATCAATTGCAGTAATGATGGCATTTTTGTTAAATTTCTTTGTGTAACTAACGTGTTCTCAAGGACCCCCTAAATAGCATAGTCATGGACCCACAGTTTGGTGCATAAGTAGTTTTGTTATTAAAAAAAAAGGTTAATCATAGTTAATTGGTTCTTCTTGACAAGGAAGCACGTGTACTCCCCTAGGAAACGGTTTTGGTGAAATGTAATCCCTTCGTTTTCAAGGGTTAAAGAAACTAAAGAATTATAATTAAACAGAGATGTCAGTCGCGAGATACAGTACATTTCAAATAAAAATTTTTAAACACAATTTGATATAGTGTATTATAATCTTTAAAATAATTTGTGTATTTTCCTTTAGACATCGATAGGCAACATCAATGTTATCACATTCTCTGCAGTGTTATCGTTAATGTTCTTTCCAAGGTTAGTACCTTTAATATGATAGCATGAAAACATAAGCAACCACCTTTTTTATAATAGTTGTGAAAAACCTTGTTTGCGTTTCAGAGCAAAATTGCATAATGGGTTACCTACACTGTTTCCACCACAGGGATCAAACCCCAAATTTTAGCTTTACATTCATGAAGTGCTAGGTGGACATTAATTGTTATACTGATATCAAAGTTATATTGCTTTTAGAAAACAATTTAAAGAGTTACAAGAAGCAACCACTTTTTGAAAGTATACAAATTATTTAATGAAGTTATTCAGTTTCAACACGTGTTGTACATTAGCACATACATACAGATGATAAAATCATAAGCATAGTTAAAAATGGCAAAAAAAAGCTTATGCTTCTTCCAAAACAGAATGATAAAGGAACAAGAGTATGTACATCATTATCATACCTACATGAATATACCAAGTAGCTGAAAAACAAGAGCAAAAATAAATTAGGTGTGATATGGAAACTTGTGACTATACATACAATTGTGTCTGCTTGGAAACAGTAGCTAGGGTACTTTATCAAAAAACTGAAAAAAAAAGAAGCAAATACTTTAAATGTCACATAAAAAAAATAATTTTTAAATGGAATTTTCTGTTTAAAATTTTTTTCTTACTCTATACATTGAAAACATCACAAACTCAAAAATGTATGATGATAATTTCACAGAATTTGCATGAAGGTATGGTTAAAAATACATATTTGTTTTTAATATTCTATGGTCACAGTAAAACTTGCAAATGTACATTTAATATATTTCAATTTCTTATAGTTAGAAAATACAATATAATTTGTAATAGAACATTAAATGGAATTGAATAAAACAAAATTACTTAAGACTATTATACAGGATTGTGAAGTACCAGATAAATCTTTTACATGTTGGTGTGTGATAAAAAATTGAATATTTTGAAAACAACCTCTTGTATAGAAAGACAAACAATTTAGCTACAGTAGAACTCAGTTAACTTGTACATAGAAACTGTTACTCATATACAATAAACTCTGATGTGATTGAAGTGAACCAAGAGTTTACAACTAATTCTAGCACAAAGGACACTTTTTATATAGACAAAACCATATGAACAAACTTTTACTGCATTAAATACCATCAAAACAAGTCCATCCAACAATAACAATGTACATTCTATTTACGTCTGATCATTATACCTCAGTGCTGGCATACTATTACAATTACATATTTATACATTCAAAAACTTTTTAAAAATCATTATAATTATTACTAAAACATAAAAATCAATAAAATGTTCTTCACACAAAATTTATAAATCATTACAATTATTACTAAGACATAAAATTCATTAGAAAATGTTCTTAATACTCAATATTTTATGTGGATATATGATAGAGATTTATCATTTTTCATGCATGCAGCTAGGGGAATTACTCATTAAATAAAAAATTAACTAAAATAGATTTTTCCACTAACACAAGACTCCAAAAAATGACTAACAAGAAACAAACCTTTAAATTCAAATATATTCAACAAAGAACTACAAACTCTGTTGAACTTATTAAGCACAGACAAATGATAATCTGTTTTAAAAACAAAAATAATTTCAGGTTGGCTAAAAAGTAAAATTCTAATGTTATTATATTTTTTTTGTATTTGGTAAAAATTACCACTACTTTTGTTTAAATATAGCCAAGTCTGTTGTGGAAACCTGTAGATGTGTTCTTCATTATTTTTTATTTGTTTCTGTAAGAATTATAATTTTTTTCTATTTCACTATAAGATTAAAATTTAGAACCATAATATGAAAGTCTTTGGTCTTATTTACTTTGAGGATGTATACAGCATGCAGTTACAATGAACTACAGCATGCAGTTACAATGAAATTACTGTTAGTTTCCATAAGGTGAAGTACCTGATTCACAAAATCCTCTATAACTGAGCTACGAAGATAATAATTTAAATGATATTTTAGTTTAACATTTTCATAGTTGCCAAGAATTTTCTGGGATGTAAAACATTACTTTGAAGCCAATCTTATTTAATTATTAGGTTAGTTGATCAATGAAACACCTTACTGCAAACAAGTCATTACCACTATGCACCTGGGGCTGCCTATTGTCTTTGACATGAAAATCATTTCATACATGTTGCTACATACTGCTATCATTCAAAAGGGGGGTTTGTAATATCGTTTGCATGTTCATAACAGTGAGTTTTCTACACTGTTCACAAAATTCATTGCATTCCCTGTAGTTGTGTTTTATAATACAAGTTAGCTGACAGAAGAGTAAAATTTTCACTCCTGGCTGACAGTAAAAAATTGAGCTAGCCAAGAACATACATTAATTCAATATTCATTCAATGCCTGAATGATCTCAAGTGTTACCCAAAGTACATTACTTGGCTAATCACTGTGTGTCTCAGTAGCCAGTAACACGTTTGTGTTAAAGTACTACATGAAAGCAAATTAGTACCCAATTGCATGCATATTCGATGACGAGGAACCCACTTTGAGACAAATAATGCTTGGAGACGGCTTGAATGGGTAATGAAGAAAAACTTTAATATAAGTTTAACATAACAGCAAATGTACAATGTTTCGACAAGGTTTTGTCATCATCAGGTACAAGTAGTTTACACTGACACAGACATATATGTACAGTATGGAACAAAGAGGTCACGTGATCGGATACTGTTGCAAGACTTAGATTTTTGTTTAAAATTACTTTTGTCCCTGCAACCAGCTCAAGAATTATCCACACTTGGACAAAACTAGCCATTAAACACAACATTCCTGTCAACATCAAATTCTCTCAAAAACCCAGCC